TAAAATGCATTGAAGTAGCTCGTATCTGCCTTGATTTCTCATTATATGTCCCAAGTACTGCAGCTTACGGCCTTTCACGATGTTGACCAAATCCGCGGTTGTATTCATCCTCCGCAGTACTAATAAAGTCTAAATAAAGAATTGACCACGTATAAATAACACGGGCGAGCTTTTACATATCGCAAAAAGTAGACGTCTGGCCTTAAGATAATTCGCTAACGCACTATAGGTGCACTAAAAGAAGAAGTACCTGCTTGTGCAGAGCTAGTGGATGGGCACCGTATATTTTTAGAGTAAATTAGTAGTGTCCAAAACGTGTGTGCTACCGCGGTCTAACGTCTCGCATTCATGAAAAATATTTTTGACTATGTCAGGCTTCTGCTACAGAATCCAAGGAAGTCTCCATGAAGAAAAAAATTTTTGACTATTTCAGGCCTCTGCTACAGAATCCAAGGAAGTCTCCATTGTGTGCAGGTATCCCTTGATTGGCGCATATCCAAGAAAGAAGCCTGTTATGACTGAGCGGATTACTTCTTGATTTCCGCAGTAATTCAGCCCTATTAGCACATATCCGTCCAATATATATCGGGTATATTTTTCCAGTAAGAGTTATCTTGTGTTTCAATCCAGGCTTTCTTCCGGCCACGGACGGTGTCCGGAATAGAAATCTAAAGGTCAATAAAATAGGTATTGATAATTAGAATTATTGAAGATATTTACGAAGTTTTTTATTAAGAATATTGCCTTCATTTTTTTTTATTTCATAGTTCAATTATCTCCAATACTGCCGATCTTGTGCCATATAAATAAAGTTTAGGGATTGTATTAGATTGCTTTAAACCAGCACAAAATCGTCAATGAGGTGTAAGCGGTTTAATCAGTCACCACCAATGTTGATGTCCATGTTCTCCCACTCGAGTTTCTTAATCACAAATTCAATATTTTTGCCATACTCAGAATTTCATTTTAAATGTTAATATGAAGTTTCGTACTTCCAGTTGGGCTTTTATAATTTATTAATGTTAATTTATTAATTTAACAAGAGATGTACCAGCTAATACGAGAGATATGAAGAGAAGAAGAAAAGTATAATCTATCCTATTCATAAAAAAAGAGACAAACTGTTGTGTCAGATACTCACAAACATCATTAATGGAAGACTTCAACCTCTCACGGAAAAATCATCGGGGAATATCAAGCAGGGTTTAGGCAAAATAGATCTACCACTGACCAACTATTTACAGTTAACAAACATAAGCCAAAGCATGGGAATATAACATGGACGTTTACAATATCTTTGTAGATTTCAAACAAGCCTATGATTCAATAGATATAACAATTCTACCGAATATATTGGAAGAATTTGGCATACAGTCAAAATTAATACGACTAGTGCAAATGACAATGACAGAAACAGAAGCACAGGCATGTATTCAAGGACAGATCACTGATGCGTTTATGATAACGCTAGGACTGAAACAAGACGACGGACTGGCTCCAACGCTCTTTAATCTTGTTCTTGAATATGTAATTAGACGGTTGACGGTGAGTGAAAATAACATACGTATAAACAAATCTACCAAATTAGCAGCATACGAGGATGATATAAACATAATGAGCAGAACAGTGAATTCAGCAGAAGAAACCTACGTTGAGTTGAAACAGAGTGCAGAAACAGTAGGGCTAGCAATATACTCCAGGCAATGAAAGAAAAATAGATAAAAACATCAATACTTCTGAATTTTGTTATAAAATACCTTTAATAAAGTAATAATTAACGAAATATTAAATAAAATAAATATATCAGTAGGATAATAATAATAGGATCTGATAATATAACAGAATAATTGGATTTTACATCAAACATTTTACGTTTTGTATTAAAGTAAAGTTATAATCAAAACATTTTATTTACAAACCAAATTAAGAAATAGTTAAACTAAATAACATTAAACTTTTTGTCAAAGTAAGTGTTCGATATGTCCACCATTTTCTTTAATTCATTTGTCAATACATTCCATAAAATATCGTCTCATATTAAATAGCATCATTGGTTCTAAACAAACTGCTGCAGTATTTATTATAGTTGTTTTAAGTATAATAATAAGTAATTTTTTGAAATTTTTATGAATTAAATAATTATATTAATATCTCACCGCAAAAATATGACTACTACAAACAATCTAATGTTCAGGAAAGTTGTATTTAAATACTGTCTCACTCCGCTTTCACTGTAATGTAATGGTTTACCATCTTGTAGAAACCACATATTTTGCCTTAAATTTGATGACAATTCTTCCAATATATTAATAAAACCATTTTATAAAAAATGTAAATAAATCTCGTGATTCAAATTGCAAGGTAATTCGCATATCGTAAAAAATAATTATCAATGGTTCCAAACCATAGGACATGCATTTTACATATGAATTTTGAATGATGTTTTACGGATATGCGAATTACCTTGCAATTTGAATCACGAGATTTATTTACATTTTTTATAAAATGGTTTTATTAATATATTGGAAGAATTGTCATCAAATTTAAGGCAAATATGTGGTTTCTACAAGATGGTAAACCATTACATTACAGAGAAAGCGGAGTGAGACAGTATTTAAATACAACTTTCCTGAACATTGGATTGTTTGTAGTAGTCATATTTTTGCGGTGAGATATTAATATAATTATTTAATTCATAAAAATTTCAAAAAATTACTTATTATCATACTTAAAACAACTATAATAAATACTGCAGCAGTTTGTTTAGAACCAATGATGCTATTTAATATGAGACGATATTTTATGGAATGTATTGACAAATGAATTAAAGAAAATGGTGGACATATCGAACACTTACTTTGACAAAAAGTTTAATGTTATTTAGTTTAACTATTTCTTAATTTGGTTTGTAAATAAAATGTTTTGATTATGACTTTAATTTAATACAAAACGTAAAATGTTTGATGTAAAATCCAATTATTCTGTTATATTATCAGATCCTATTATTAATTATCCTACTGATGTATTTATTTTATTTAATATTTCGTTAATTATTGACTTTATTAAAGGTATTTTATAACAAAATTCGGAAGTATTGATGTTTTTATCTATTTTTCTTTCATTGCCTGGAGTAATTGCGTTAAATCAGAATTATGCAGTTAATTTGTAAAATGCGATTATCTCGAAAACTGTTGAGTTTTGAAGTTATTAACAAGTATACCTTTTCTTTGTTAAAATAACGTATCTTTAATATTTTTCATAAAAAATACCGGTAACTTAAAGAACAAAAAAGTTAAGTGCAAATGTATGCGACGTATGTGGCATATGTGGCGCCCTCTATTAGCTATATCAAAGTGTTCATCAAATTATAATTTCTAATATTAAATAGTACCCAGCTGTAAATTTTTATATATAAATGTTTACAAACATGAAAGTTATAGCGAAAAATGAAATTTTAAATTTCTACTTTACCACCCTGTATCTTTTTTAATATCAACATTTTATTAAAGTAAGTTGGCTTAAATCGTAATATTTTAAAGTATAGAATCTGCGGTTTCTTTTTGTACAATTACTTAAGGACCACCCTGTATATATATATATATATATATATATATATATAAATAAAACAAAACTACTCATACAAACCAGATCAAATAGACTGGCGCAACAACACTTTATTGACGATATAGAACATGTGAATAGATTCACATATCTAGGAATGGATCTGGTCGCAAGCAATGAAGAAGAAACGGAAATAAATAGAAGGCTTGTGCTGGCAAATAAAGCCTATTTCGCGATGGGCCACATATTCAAATCGCGAGACGTACACCGGAAAACAAAACTCCGGGTCTATAAAACAATAATCAGGCCCATAGTAAGTTATGGTTGTGAAACATGGGTGGTGACACAGAAATCTGCCAATGCATTAGATGTGTTTGAAAGAAAAATATTACGTAGGATACTGGGCCCAATAAGTGAAAACAACAACTGGCGAATTAGGTATAATAGAGAAATATACGAGCAATATAGCGAACCAACTCTAGCACAATACACTAAACTGCAGAGATTACGGTGCGCAGGGCACGTGGTCTGCATGGATGAGAATAGAATCCCCAGAAAATTACTAAATGCAAGCATGCAGGGAAAAAGACCTGTTGGAAGACCTAAAAAGAGATGGGAAGACGAAGTCGATGAGGATGCCAGGAACTGCCTGGGAACGCGTTCATGGAAAAGAATAGCGGTCAATCGAAATGATTGGAGAAGCTTGTTGAAGGAGGCCAAGGCCCGATTTGGGTTGTAGTGCCATTGGATGGATGGAATGTATTAATTTAATTTATTAAATTATAATTAAAGTTGCTTGTTTGTTGACCATACTCTACATCAGTTAGTGCAGCAATGTTGATGTCTTAATCAATCACCTAGGCTTTCTTATAGTCCATAAATATTAGGACTAGTGGTTTGTTGTGAAATCTGACTGCTCTTTAGGATGATAGAAATCTAGTTTGACGGTTTCGCTGAACATTAAAAACAGGATCACATTGCGAGCCCGTACATCTCCTTTAGCAAAAAATGTTTACCATGATCCGGTAACTTTACAAAAATAAGCCACTGTTTTTAAGGTGAATATAATGTGCAGATCAGTTTGTTTTAATATATGATGAAAATAGTATTTTATTTATAAATTTTAAATCTTATTATTTTTGAGCTTTAAATTTTATTTATAAAAATAAACCTACCGTTGCCAAAAGAATCATATCTATCCTACTATTCAACATAACATAATAGGATCAAGCAGAAATCTTTGATTTTACAACCATAGTTTGACAACATCTTCCTGCCTTAAAGCCAAAGCACTAAATTAAATTTGTATTGATCTAATATGATATTGTAAAACATTTTAAAAGTTTTGTTCACAATTTTAAATTGATATATTTATTAGTTATTCTTGTATGCGTCATTATAAGGACGTTAGAAATTAGCTGAATTAAAATAATACCTACCGAGTTTCCATTTGAAGTAGGTTGTCTGTAATCAGGACTATGGCTTTGAGGAACATGATGAGTGTCATCTCGATGGGCGACTTGAGCAGCATATTGGGCTACCATTTGCAGATCTGCTTGAACATTTCTTTTACCATGATTACTGCTGTGAGATCCGTGCCCACCTACAAAAGATATGTATTTATTTATTTATCAACGGTCAATCGTCCAATTAAAATACAATGTAAATATTATTGATAAATTACAGAAGATTCTTAACGTAACCTACTTAAATTAAATTTAAAAATTTTAATCATACAAAAAATAAAAGTAGGAACAGTAAATAACAAACATTAACAATGTTTGTACAATGAATGTATAAAATGTAATTAATATCTTGGAGAAATAAGTGTATTTTGCATTTGTATTAATATAAAAGCAATTAAATGGGACTACATGACAAATGGAGTGGCGAAAATAGCGGATACAAACATAAAAAATGTATTGGTGTGGATAAATTGTGGAAGCTCAAAGTTGAAAAGGGGTAAGCTTTCAGCGCTTCTAAACTGGTTTCTTGACTAAGTATACACGAACCCTGCAGAAATTTTCCTAGTCCTTCCAATTAGGGTTGCAGCAATGTGTCTATACTTACTTAATTCTCAGTAATAAGTCCAGGATAATATACACGCGATTAGAAGCGGATTCGGAAGTCTTTAAGAAATTAATATCATGAAATCATTCTTACGTCATCACGTTCTTATTTACTAGACAAAATCGTTCGTCAATCGTTTTCAAAATTAAATGTGTACGTTACCGAAAAAAATATGATAACTAAAAAAACGAAAGAAGAAATAAGGAAGCCAAAGGCAAATATATAAATATCTAAAGGTAAAAACCTGGTCTACGACAACTAAAAGAATTTTAAGTAACAAACACAAAATCTGTTAGTGCCCCAAATACAAGAACAAGACGAGACTTAGACAGTCTTGGTCTTGCGCCAATACACCTGGTCTTGGTCTTGGTATTGCACTCCCGGTCTTAGTCTTGGTCTTGCAGCCTTGTAAGTCTTGCAGTTACCCATTAGCCTATTGCTATTTAGTAAACGCTACTTTAGATCTTAGAATAACGTAACAGAGCAAGTACATTTTAAGCTTGAATTCATCAATCAGTCAATCGTGTCCACTGCTGGACATAGGCCTTCCTCAGTCCTTTCCAGTGTTCTCTACACTGGGCCGTTTGTAGCCAGTTTCCCGCTACACGTTTTATATCATCGGTCCATCTAGTCGGTGGTCGTCCTCGGCTTCTTTTATAGTTTCTGAGCCTCCATTCTATAATACGTCTAGTCCACCGTCCATCTTGTGTTCTGGCTAAGTGCCCTGCCCAGTTCCACTTAAGCGTCGTAGTTCTTTCGATGACGTCTTGAACTCTTGATTTTTGCCTGATTTGTTGGTTTGTTACGTGGTCTCGAAGGCTCACGTTCAGCATTGCACGTTCCATGGCTCGTTGTGTAACTCTGAGTTTATTCGCAGATTTTTGCGTGAGTGTTAAAGTCTCAATGGGAATTTAACTTTTTAGAATATGGCTTAATTTGCCAAATGCTGCCGATGTTAGGCCTATTCGCCTCTGTATTTCATGTATTTGATTGTCTCTGCTTATTTTGATTTCGTGTCCCAGATATTTGTAAGTGTCTGTTTGTTGTATGGTATTATTGTCAATAGTTATATTTCCACTCATTAGGAGATTTGTTATAAGTTTAGTTTTCTCAAAGTTTATCTTTAATCCTGCTCTTTCAGACAGACTTTTAAGCGAATGCATCATAGAAACTGTATCATGTAAGTTATCTGCGATTAATACAACATCATCTGCAAACCTTAGGTGATTTAATCTTTCTCCATCTATATTGATGCCCATATCTTGCCATTGAGTGCTCTTAAATATTGACTCTAGAGCTGCCGTGAATAATTTTGGTGAAATATTGTCTCCTTGTCTAACTCCTCGACCTAAGCTCAATTTTTCTGTGTCTTCGTGTAGTGATATACTTGATGTAGCGTTCTCGTAGATATTTTTTATTAGTGTCGTGTACCTTTAATCTATTCGGCTTTGATTTAGGGCGTACAGTATTGTTTCAAACTCTACAGAATCAAAAGCCTTCTCGTAATCGACAAATGCAAGAACCATTGGTATGTTGTACTCGATGCACTTTTCTATTAAGATCTTTATGGTATGTAAATAGTCATTAGTGCCATATCCTGCCCCGAAGTCTGCCTGTTCTTTGGGCTGATAGAAATCAAGTTTAGGTGTTAGCCTCTTTGTTAAGATTTTCATAAAGAGTTTGTACATATGTGTCAAAAGGCTGATGGGTCTATAATTTTCTAATTTAGTAATATCGCCTTTTTTGTGTAACAAGACTATTACTGCAGTTCGCTTACTGATTTTAATAAAATTTCTCCTCCTGATTTTATTGCCTCGATAGCGAGTCCATAATCACCAGGCGATCGATGGTTCTTCATTTCCTTTAAAGCTGCTCTTACTTCTGACACAGTCATGGGTAAAAGTACTTCCGATCCCTGATTTATGAGAGTCTTTAGTCGTGTCGGTAAATTGTCTTGTGGTCTTTGGCTGGTATAGAGGTCTTTATAAAACTCTCTGGTTATTTTCAGAATGTTTTGTTTATCTGTTGTTGCCTTTAGGTCTTTTTCTCTCAGCTTGTATATTTCTTTTTTACTTTGTGTGAGTTTTCTTTTCATTATCTTTAAACCTTTGTTCTCTTCTACTGTTTGAGTAATTACATTAGTATTATATTTTCTTACATCTTTTCTAATTTCCGCTGAAATTCTTTTATTTAGTTTTTTATATTCTTCTTTGTTTCCCTTTTCGTTCTCGCTTAGGTTTCGTCGTATTTCCATGAGAGCTTTTGTATCTTTGCTAATCTTTTCACTTTTGGTGTGTCATTTTTCTTGCAAAATTTGAGTTGTGCGTTTCTAATCGAGTGTGTTATTAATTTATTGTGATCGTCGATACTTAGAGATTTGGGATTATCACTCTGTAAAGTTTCAGCTATATTTTTTATGTATGTTTCTGGATGATTTGGTGAATTCCAAACTATTCGTTTGCAACTGTTTAATATCTTTGCTCTTTCTTTTTGTAGATTTATCGTTACTCTAGCTCTTACTGGTCTGTGGTCGCTTCCTACTGATAGTTTATTGAGTACAGTGACATCTTGAATAATTTGCTTTTTGTCTGTTATTATATAATCATATTCACTCTTAGTTCTTCCGTCTGGACTAGCCCACCTCCATTATCTATTCCGTTTCTTCTTAAAAAAGGTGTTCATTGCATATAGTTTGTGTTGCAGTAGAAAGTTGGTAAGCATTTCGCCTCTTTTATTTCTTACTCTGATTCCGATTCCAAAATCTGCGATTGCCACTTGTTGTTCGTCCTTTTTCCTTCCGCGTTTCCATCCCCGGTCCTATAATATATATCAACATATATTATAGGACCGGGCAGCTAAGGCGGTAGAGACTTTCACGCAGAAAGCCGAGGATCGATCCCCGGCGCCGGCGAAAACATGTCCTTATATATTTTTGAAATATGTATCTCCAGGCCCCAGGTTGACTCAGTCTGAATAAGTTGAGTACCTTGTGGGTAAAGCCAGGGGTAATAATAGGCTTTTGAAGCGTTGCATTAACCCTATTACCTTCCTTGTATATCAAGAGGTATACGCAAAGAGTTAATATAATTAGACCCTTCTATACGAAGGGTTATTATTAGGTTAGTAAATATAATAGTAAGGACACTATCACAAGGGGAATTATTAAGGATAAGGAAGACCATCCGATCAGTGGACAATGAGGTAGTGCAAAGATCGACATAATATTTTGTAGAACAGATACTTTTTGCAACTGTTAGTGAGCAGGATGAAGTAAGTCACGCTGATGCAAATTAAATAAAACCCCCGTATGCTTCTTGGTCAACCAAAGTATGAAAAGCCACAAATCATCAGGAAAAGACGAGGTTACAGATAATTTGTGGAAAGCAGGTTACATTCTGGTAGAGAAAATACACAATGTTGGAACGCCTTCAACAAATTCATTTTTTGTTACCTTTTTCACAAACGTTACAAAATAATTACGTTACATTTCACACACATTCGTACTCCCGCGCTAACCACGGTTAAGAATGCACTTACTAGATAAAAACATCACGTTAAAAACATATTTTCTTAACACCAAAAATTATTACTCTCTAGTGCTTGTTGAAGACAAGCAAGTAAGTTTGCACGCAGGCATGCATGCATGCAAGCAACCATGCATGCAAGCTTGTATAAATTAGTGAATTTGAAGGAGCCGGTTCACTTCATTTTTAACCGAAATTGCGTTATTGCATTAATCATACAAAATTTGAAGCAAAGGATTTATCTGATCAACCATTACGGTGAAAGAATCAGGCAAGTCCAGGAGTTATCTGATTTTAGCACCGAAATGGTCGTGTGTAATGGAAGATGTCGGAGTAGGGATAACGCTCATTGGTCCGGTGGTAGAGTGGTTTCAGTTTTAAAATTTTGTTAATAAGAACACGTACCTAATTTTGTGTTTAGTATACTACGTTTTATAATGTCGTCAGAGTCAGAAATCGAGAGGGATCGTTTTCAAAATTAGGGTAATGAATATGCTCCGAGTGATTTGGATCAACCTAATACGAGTCGTACATATTACATATTACAAGGAAAATTAAAACAAAAAAGCGAGTTCGCCGGCGTTTGGATCACAACACATTACTAGAGAAGAGATGTAGAAAACGAGTAAGAAACGGAAGTGGGTGGCAGAGAAATGTAAAAACATCGTTAAAAGCATGTGCTGAGGAACATTTTAATTCATTTAAAATGGTTGTACCGAAAATAACAGTGGGAACACAATGCACATGCTGACTTTTGACGGCAAGTTTGGCAAGAAACGTTTTTACAAAATTGATGAAACACAAAGAATATCTATTTTCTCCTCTTTTAACGAATTAGGAAATAAAGAGAAGCAAGGCTTATATTTGAGTGGATTTATTTCCCCAAAACCAGTGCAAAGAAAGCGGCCAACATCAGAACAAAGAAATCCAAAAGAATTTTCATTTTCTTAGAAGGTAGTAGTTTTTTACTTTATTTTAATTATTATTTCTTTCAATAATTTTAATCAGA